CATTGCAAGCTGACCTAGCGAGGCACCGAGCTCAGACGGGGTCCAGGCAGCCCCCCGTAAGCGGAACACCTCCCCGCCCTGCTCAACGCGCTGCTCGGCGTTTTGCCCAGCGGAACCTTCCCCATTCGGAACACGACGCGGATGTTCCTGGACGATTACACGCGCGCAACGGGGCTTCCATTTCGAAGCCATCTATCACAAATGCATAGCCACCACTTGTGCAAAATTAAAAGCTTGCCTTACCATTGCACAGAAGGTCTCGGGAGGATCTCCGCACGTTATGTTTGGGGGGTCCAGAGTCACTTTTACGTACTTGATCATGTCTCTGGCTTCCGGCTGGCAGGCCATGTAATCCCACACTTTTCCTTCCTCCGTGTAGATCTGCGTCTTGCAGACGTCATAGTGTCCCCACACGGAAGGGTAGTGCTGCATCACGGAGGACACGGTAACCCAGAGGGCGTGCAGTGACAGGAATCGTGACAAATACATCTCTAAATCCTTTTACGTCACCTTTGCGAGGACGCTCAGCACCGGCGCAGCACGTGCCGTCTATAGATCATACGTATACGTACATACACACGTATGTATTCCGTAAAACAGGTTCCAGCTCAAACGCGAAGCATTAGGAGAGGGCGTTTGTTTCGCTCGGTTGAAGACTTTGGTAGGAGCCGGGGGGCCCTGACCACAGCCTTTCGCAGCCACGCGGAGCGCGTCCCTTCCCTTCCAACTGCTCCGTCGGGGCTTCTTGTAAGAGACGTCCAGCAGCAGGTAATAATTCGCGAAGGCGCAGGTCTTCAGCTACGCTGACGATAACCCTGAGTGATCCTCCGCGTTCCGGGCTCGCAGGGGGTGCCCAGGTGCGCTGAGAAATCAGTGCCCGAAGCAAAAGGATGAGTGTCTACAGGCTGGTGTCTGCTTCCCATCAATCATTCTCTTCTTCTGGCACCGGCACCCTTTTAGAAACAATAAGAGTTAGAGTTATTGTCCAAGAATCAATGCGTTACAAAATAGGTGATGTGTTGACATTTTGGAGGTTTGATGCAACATAAAGCAAATTGGTGTAATATGGATAACCTTTACCGCGGGTGCCGTGCTAGAACGAGCAAACTACCAGAATCATTCACGGCAGAAAGTATTTTGACAGGAGGGATTTAACTCTCCTCTAGCAAAGACAGATTTATAACGCTCCAGGTGAGCCACAGGTTTCTGCTTCCAAACCTGCATTTTCGCCCTAGCAAATCCGGGCAGCAAACGACCGGACACGAGCGTCGCCCAGGCCGGGGCGGGGGAGCGGGCAGCAGCGGGAGGGCTCTTTGATACCAGGGCTACCGGGTGCCGAGAGTCTCGGGGCCAGAGGAGGAACCTCAGGGAGCTCCAACAGCCTTACGTGTGCCTTTTTTTTTTAATTTTTATTTTATTTTTGGAAGAGTAACAAGGACACTGCAAGCTCGCTTCCCTTTCCCTGAAATCGCTCAGTAGCATTGGAAGAGCTTTGCTCCTTTTTTTTTTTTTTTTTTTCCCCTTTTAACTGTGATTTACCGACCACACTGACGACAAACCACTGAGAAAGGCAATGGTTCACCGGCAGTTTCCTACAGGGATGCTGTCCCCCCCCTTAGGGCAGCCTTACTTCCCCAGGTCTGGGGGGGGGGGGTACCTGCGCACTCAGCATTTATTTCGTGGCATGTTTCAGAGCCCTCTCCTCGCTTCCGAAGGCAACGAGAAATTCCCCCCGCTGGTATGGCCTCCATCGCATTATCACAGGTATAAAACCCTCGGGTGCCATTACACTGATTTAAAACGTGCATTTGCTAAAAAACACGGGGAAAAATACAAATGATGTACGAGGGAAACCGCCAGGGCAGGGCGGGGCGAGTTCCCTCGCGCGGTGAGGCAAAGCAGGGCTCGGAGAAACGACCGTGAGTCGCCACCTCCCGCAGCTTTGCTGCTTCCCAGCTCTTAAATGACGCCCGGCGCCACGGAGCCTCCCGCCCCCCGCCCCCCCGGGAAGCGGAGCGCGACCTTCGCGTGTCGCAGCGGGAACGCGCGCTTTCAAAACTTCGCCTTCAAAGCTATGCGCAAGCAGCCTGCCCGTGTTTAAATCATGCTTCGTCTTCGGCTGAGCCACGCTACGGGCAGGATGGAATGCCAACAGATGGCTGGGTTGTGTTTCCATAGCAAAGTCATTTACAATAATTGCCGTATGGACGTAAATGCAATTTTCCATTATATCCGCTTTATCAAGTGTTAGCACACAACTCTCATGTTTTATCAGAATAGGCAGAGAATATCGGCATTTTCGTGCGCTAACAATGCCCAATTGCTTCAGATATATTTAAGCTGCAAATCGGACTTTGACACAAGAGCAGGCGTACCCAAGCCCAAATTAAAATGCAACCTTTTGAAGCAGCACGCTGTGTAGTGCCACCGCTTCTTCAGCGACCCGACGCTCCTTTTGTTTTCAGTGGGAACGTTTGCTTATCGCCTTGGAATTCAGTAACTGGGAGAGCCCTTCCCATGCCGGTCCACAGACTGCTCGGGCACATTCCCTCTGTTCCTTACATAGGCAATTTACCAATTTGCAGGGGAAAAAAAAAAATCACCCCCAACCCCCCTGGCTTAGAAGAGTCATGATACAAAAGGGAAGCAACCGCCCTGCTAACGGAAGAGCCAAATAATCCCAAACTTGTGACAAATCAAAGCATACTCCGTGCGGGAGGAGGCTTGTTTATAGCTGAAATAATCAGGAGGCGAGGGCCGAGCTTCTGCGCAGGAGTGAGAAGTCGCTCACTTTCATTGTCCTTAGGCAACAAGCCTAAGGTCAGGCAGGGGGAGATTGGTTTTCTTTAATATTTGCCTCGCCGGCTCCTCAGCTCCCCGTTAACATTTTTATAACTGCTGAGACTCGGATCCGCTGATAAACAGGACTGGACGGGGCTAACGTGACGTGGGGCGAGCCGCTGCCTCGACACCCGGTGCCGAAATACTTCCCGTGTAACGAACGCTCGTTAAAGCAAGCCGGAGCCATAATGATGGTCGTTACACAGAATTATAGACCATAACATCGATCGAATCGAGGGCGCTGACAGGGAGTAAGTGCAGAGGAGTGCAAGGCATGAGAGCACGAGGCAGCCGCGGCGGCGTGCGACAGACATGCCTGACAAGGAGCAGCCAATTATAGCTGAAATTTCTGGCGTATAACCAGTTCTGATTAATAGTTTTCCATTACATTACAGACATATTATTAATGTATTAAAAATGTCAAGCTTTGGCAAGAGCTAATACGGCACGGCTCAGTTCGTCTGCAGCGTACTCCTTTAACGAGCCTGCATGGACAGGGAGGAAGGTATTGACCAAAGCCCATTAGGGTTGGTGTGCGGAGCGCTGCGGGGCTTTTCCTGACGGAGCTACGCCGTCCGCCTGGCCTCCCCTTATTCCTGCAGAGTCACTCACGACGGGCGTGCCACATTTCGGTGCTCCATTGCTAAGGACAGACCTACTTGGATTATCCTGTAAAAAAACAGTTAGAGCAACAACTCTGAAGTTCACAGCCGCAGCAGTCGCACGGCGCCAAGCCGCTAGCCCCGGGCAACACAAAGCCATGGGGTGGTTTTTTTTGTCCCCCGTAACGCCTGCGCGTTTGACCTTACAAAACAGCAACCGAACAAATCGGGAATAACGAACGCCTGGTGCCCCGGTCCCCTGCACCCCGCGGTGCTCTGCCCATCGCACCCCCTGGGTGCTGGGGGGCCCTGGGGGCAGCAGAGGGGGGGCAGCGTCCTTACTGACGGAGGGCGCGGGGACGGGGAGCTG